GTGAGCTCGGGTTCCTGCCATGTGCCACAACAGTACTTGGCTCTCTCTCCTGATGGCCTGCAGAGTCATTGCTACTCAGTGTGGAAAATACAGAGGAGCTGTTGCTCTTATTTTGTATTATTTAAGGTTCTAGAATTCCCTTCCTTTGCAAAGGAGCCTAGGGCAACGAACAACAAAGCAGCAAAGCGATACAAATGACTAAATAAAATAAAAAACGTATTTGAAACGTTTAAAGATCTTAATCATTTGAAGGGATGGCTCAGCTAGTAGAGCATCAGACTATTGATCTCAGGGTTGTGGGTTTGAGCCTCACATTGGGCAAAAGATTCCTGCATTGACGTGGGTTGGACTAGATGACCCTCGTGGTCCCTTCCAACTCTATGATTCTCTATCACTTCTATGATTTAATAATGAGTGGTTTGGTTGAGAATAAAGACTCCTCCCTAAATTCCTAGTATGCCAACCCTGCCCTATCTCACTTATGGGAAGTTCTGTAGACCAGAACTTCCCTCACCTGATGCTATCCAGATGTTGATGGACTACAAGTCCCATCATCCCTGGCTATTGGTCATGCTGGCTGGGACTGATGGGAGTTGGAGTCCAAATATCTGGAAGGCATCCTGTAAGGGAAGACTGCCATAAAGCGTGGCAATCAAATTGGGCAGATAAAGGTGTTTGTCACGTGAACAAAAGGTTTCAATAAGGAAGAAGCGTGAGAAAATTACCTGTCTGACAGGTAGCCAAAGATCAGAGCTCCAAGCATGACGCCAATGAAGAAGAAGGTGGCTGTGGCGTGATTCAGCTCTTTTTGCTCACAGACCAGGTCCCACTGGAACAAAGGACCCAGAGAAGCATTTAGAATACCTATAGGCAGCTTAACTCAGGGTTGCTGCCATTTTCCCCCAGGAGGACTCCTGTGTGCCTTAAATACACAGGCAAGGATTTTGGAACATAAACACAGGGTTGATTTCAAATAGATCTGCTTTATTAATCAAAACTGCAGCAATTCCCCTAACTACATTAGGTACAGTATAGAAGAGCGATATTGAATTGCCTATACCAGGTGTGTGGAATCTTTGGCCCTCCAGGTGTGGCTGAACTACAACTCCCATCAGCCCCTGCAAGCCAGGCCAATGGGATAGGATGTGGGGCAAACAGCCTATTAAATCTATGTGTTGTATAGGGACGTTTTTAATGTTTGATGTTTTAATGTGTTTTTATATTCTGTTGGAAGCTGCCAAGAGTATTAAGATAATGGCTTATTATTTTTATTATTATTATTATTATTATTATTATTATTATTATTCAGTAGCAATCAGGGGAAACTTTTACCTCTTTAGATTTTGAGTTCAGACACTTATAGCTTCCCACTGAGGCTTTTGAATGATGCATTCTGAACACTGCAATAAAGGTGCAGGTTCAATCTATCAAGCTGATTCAAATCAGGACTTTCCCAATTAAATAATATCTACCAAATAAGCTAGAGCTATGACTACCCAGGTGTCAACTGCATGTACTTCATTCTTAAATATAAATTCAATTTTGAACATTTTAAATATGTGAGTACCTTTCTTTAGGGATGCTTTCGAATGGCAGCATGTACTTCATTCTTAAATATAAATTCAATTTTGAACATTTTAAATATGTGAGTACCTTTCTTTAGGGATGCTTTCGAATGGCAGCTAAAGGTTACATAATATAGGCTACAACCAGGCTACACCCACTTCCCTGGAAGTAAGCACTAATGAACTCAATGGGACTTACTCCACGAGTAAGGGCCCAGTTGGCCAGGATTACATCATTGAGAACGTTCCTTTGTTTTCTTTGCTATTCTTTCCCTTGGACTTCCTATGTTGCAGATGAACTGCCAGGATAGAAATATATAAAAAAATAAAATAAAAATTGTCCAGCTTATACCAAGAACAAACTTAGTTGGTCTCTAAGGTGCTATGGGACAATTTTTATATATTTTGACTGCATCAGACCAACACGGCTACCTACCTGACTCTAGATGCCAGGATAGAAGTTTGTCATCTAATGATCAAACATTAACGCTCAAACAGCTTCAAGGGTCAGCTGAGGTGTTCCGGGGTGACATAGCACCAAGTTAATGTGCTGAGAAATGTGGATGTCGGTAATTCCTACTGCCCCACCACCACTCCCAGGGGCACAGGCGGTGGCGTGGCAACCGCCTCCTGCTCCTCAGGCCCTCAGGCCACTGGGCAGCACCGGCAGTGGGCTGTCGTTGTCAGGCAGGAGGAGGCATCCCGGACCCTCGCAAGCGAGCACTGGGTTCTGGCGGTCTGGCCAGCAGCACTGCGTCCACATCGGCGGCGTCTTCTGTGGGCAGCGGCTCCTGGAGCTACGAGGTGGTCCATGAGTTAGGCCCTGAGTTCTAAATTCTGGGAAAGAGAGGGGGCGCCAGAGGGATCTTTGCCCCACGGCGCCAGATATGCTTAAGACGGCCCTGCAAGTGTGGCAGGAAGATTCAAGGACAATCAGTACAGTGGTACCTCTGGATGCGAACGGGATCCGTTCCAGAGCCCCGTTCACATCCTGAGTAGAATGTATACGCGACTGCGCATCTGCACATGCGTGGGTCACGTTTGCCGCTTCCGCGCATGCGCGTGACGTCATTTTCAGCGTCTGTGCATGCACGAGTGGCAAAACCCAGAAGTAACGCGCTCTGTTACTTCGCCGCGGAACGTAATTTGAAAATGCTCAAGCTGAAGCACATTTAACCCGAGGTATGACTGTATTATATTCCATGTCCTGCATTATTTTATACCTTCTGGATATCCTCACAATCATTTTATGAAGTAGTTGTGTTCTATGTTACCAAACAAGCACTGCTGCAAGTTTCCTTTCATATTCCAATGTATTTCTTATCAATAAATAAAACTGCTGTGGCGCAACCAAATTTTTATTCTGAAAGTGTGACCCAGGGGAAAGTCTGAGAACCACTGCTTGAGTGAGTGAGGAGGACTTGTTCTTATGGATATTTTACTGGATGAGCGTTTTGTATTGATCACTGTGTTACATTTCCCCGTAGTTTTAAATTGCTTTTATTTGTTAGGATTTAGTCACTTTGATATTTTTTTATTATGTATAAAGCAACTGATAAAGGAAATAAATAATGATCATGGTGATAAATAGTAAACAAATAATCCCCTCAGAAACATACGCTCACTGCCCAGAGCACTCTCAAAGTGGCAGAGAAAGGGAGAGTAACAACTGTAATGTATTTATTTATTGCATTTTTCTCCAGGGAGCTCAAGGTGGTCTTCATGGTTCCCCCACTTCTCTCCCTCACAAGAACCCTATGAAGTAGATTAGACTGAGACCAGGCAATAATGAGCCTTATGGCCACGTACATATTTCTCTATGCTCAATTCCAAAAGAGCCCATTCTTTTGCACTTGTTTGCACTTTCAGATGGTCCCCAAACGTACGGGAAGATGCTAGGCTTACCTGGGTAGCTATGGTGGAAGTGAACTGGGACTGGTTATAAACCCACCCATTCTGGCAGCGCTGTACAGATGTGACATTGGTCGACGCTTGGGAGGAGTTGAGCAGGAGGTGGAACTGAGGCTCCGAAAACATCTCGCAGGAGCTGAAGGCTTCTTCTGAATCCCTCGGGATGCTGATGAGCAGCACCTCTGCCTCGGTGAGGTTGGCAAAGCGGTCCTGATGCAGGATGGCGCAGCGATGAGCCGGGGTGGCCGCCAGGAAGTTGTGCAGGAGGAAATGCAGAGGGAGGAAGAGCCTCGGGAGGCAGAGCAGGAGCAAAGTGAGGATCTGGAATTTGCCAAAGCCCCCAACCTCGCACAAGAGGTCTTCGAAATTCATCTTTGCCAAGGCCCTCGCTTGCTCGTAGGGGTCAAGGTGCCGCAGGAGGGATCCCCTACAACTCTTCTGCTCCACAAGAGCAGGAAGCCATGACTTTTCACGCCGTCGTCCGTGTGGACTTTGAGATGTCGATCGTGCATCTGGCCCTCACCGGTAGGGGCTGAGCCAAGAGACCTTTCGCTTGAGCCAAAGGACCTTTCGCTTTCTCTGTCCCAGGGAAATGGCGAGGGCAGTGCCATGGAGCAGGAGAATGTTTAACGCAACAACTCTTAGCAGTTGACGAGTAACCGTTAGTGCTGCTGCAAGGAAGCAGGCTAGAAATTAAATATATTATGGTTATCCACCACTTCTTGCCCCCAAAGTTAAACTTTAGTCAATGCATATCAGCAACTGTTCAGGCTAGAATCACAGCCCACAGACCTTCTCCTGCCAATAAAGCTTTTCTTCTGGAAGATTGCACCTAAAATGATTAGTTTCTGCCCCAGACAAATGACCTAACCTGGGCATGAAGGCGAGGTCAAAAAAGCCTAGATGGGGACCAATATGCTCCATAGGTTTTATTGCCCTGCCCCATGGATTGGGACTCAATTTTGCTTGGGGTTGTCTTCTGGGGCAAGGGGGAATATGCAGCCTTGAAACAAGTGACAACCCCAGGCTGTCTGCAGGCTGAAGCCCCCCAAAATTGCACAGCCATTTTGCAGAACTAGTTGCTGACGGCTGCCCTACTGCTGCAGAAATAAAGGGCTGTTTTGTCCCCGAACCTATACTCCTGCTTCAGATCCTTGCCCAAGTGCAAGGTTGCCAGCTTCCCAGCTGACCACTGCACCTGTGCTTCTAGCAGCATCTTGCAGAAGATGGTGATACCATTTATATCCATACCAGAGATTTCTGTAGATAAAAAGGCTGCAGAATGCATAGGGAAAGGCTGGGTTAATTCTTTTCCTGGTGATTTGGAAATTCTGCATGTTTGTTTTTCAACCACTTTCCCTTCAGGGTTGCTGGAGCTGATTTCTGTAACTGTGTCTTGGGCTGCAGGAATTAGCAGGTGAAAATGTTTGGTCTTCATTGCAATGAAAAGCTTTTCTAGCTGAACAATAAATCAGTGTTAAATATACTAGAGCAGCCCAGGCTGTTTGGCTTTCTACTAGGCGGCTGGCAACAGCTCTGCTCAGCTGGCACCAAAAATCCAACAGGCCACCCTTCCTCCAAGGATAATACATGCTTCAGGTTACGTGGAGGGACAGTGCTTGGCTCAAAGTCACCCAGGGAGCTTTGTGGCTGCGAGGGGAATTGGGTCTGTGTCTCCTCAGTCCTGGTCTGACTCTCTAAACAACGATACTACATAGGAGGGGCACTATATAAGCATGTTTGCCAAGTGTGTTCTATAAGCTGGGTGCCACAGCAGAGGAGGCTGTGCCTCTGTGTGGTGGGGGCACCTGCAGAAAACCTCAGCTAATGATCTCATTACTCAGGCAGCTTTCCTTGCCGGGCTGGCACTGTGGTCTAAACCACTGAGCCTCTTGGGCTTGCCGATCAGAAGATCGGTGGTTCGAATCCCCACGATGGGGTGAGCTCCCATTGCTCGGTCCCAGCTCCTGCCAACCTAGCAGTTCGAAAGCACGCCAAAAGTGCAAGTAGATAAATAGGTACCGCTCCAGTGGGAAGGTAAAAGCATTTCCATGCGCTGCTCTGGTTTTGGTGTTCCGTTGCACCAGAAGCGGCTTAGTCATGCTGGCCTCATGACCCGGAAAAAACTGTCTGCGGACAAATACTGGCTCCCTTGGCCTTTAAAGCGAGATGAGCGCCGCAACCCCAGAGTCGTCTGCGACTGGACTTAACTGTCAGGGGTCCTTTACCTTTACCTTTTTTTTAGGCTAAGACTAGCACTTTTAATTGTGATAAATGGAAAGTGAACTTCTTTCAATGTGATTTTTTTAAAATAGCACTAACACATAATATTTACATCTATCTGGACTACGAAAAACAGCCAAAGCTCCCAAAAGAGGTAAACCTACAAATCTCGTAAGTTATCGCGGAGTCCAAGCATAGCGAAAAGGGCAGCAAATGAGGAGGAAGACTTGGGAGTCAGTGCTTCTAAATTTATTGGGGATTTTACCCTCTTCCTGTTCACAAACACACACACAATCACACCTGTCTAGCAGGCACAATATATCCCAAACGCTTTATTTCATCACACATGTCGGCAAATAGGGTAAGTGTATCAGATTCGGCCCTCTCTGAAAGCTGAAAACAAACTAAAATGCCATACGGTGGCATTTAACTTCACGACAGTGTTATCCTCTTATTGGCTTTCAGCTCCAATTAGCACCCAGTTCCCATTATATCAGACTTTTTCCGAGCATCCAGCAGCGTCCATTCCGTTGGCCAGCAATGTCTGATTACAGTGTTGTTTCCCGTTGCACTCAGTGCTGGCTTCCTGTTGCTGAGAGAGGGGAGCATCTGTGCCAGTTTGACTCATCAGCCCAAGAGGGATTGCTCCATCCATGCCTTGTCCGTGTGCTTGGGTTCCCAATGCCTTTTTGTTTCTGAAGACAAGCGAGAGAGATGATGGAATAAAGCTCTGCTCTGGTCCCTGAGGTCTGAAGGCACTAAGATCTCACAAGTACGCCTCTATCTCTTTAGCCTCCCGCACAGATTTGTCGTGCTTGCTCAATTATGGCAGAGGGGATATCTGAATATTCAACATCAAATGCGAATTAGGTATTCTGATTAGGAAATACCTTATGGACATATTAATGGCTAGGGGCTGCTGCCCCTGCTCACTCTGCCTGCCAAGCTCCTTCCTCCCACCTCCCTTTGCACCTCAATGACTCCATCACCTGTCCCCTCATGGCTATCCAGAGGCTATATATCTCCAGATAGGAATGTTCACACCAGGCAAACCTTTCTGGGGAAATATTTTTCACAAATGAGGCTCTGCAGTCAAGAAGACCCTCTCTCTTGTCACCCCCTGTCTTGCCTTAGATGAAGGAGCACCTGGCAGAGAGACTCTCAAAATGACCTAAATACAGGTTAGTAGAAGGAAAAGCATCCTTCAAGATACCAGGTTTGGTTCCGGGGTGGGGGGGAGTTTTTAATGGTGAGCACCAGTACTTTGAATTGCGTTCAGAAATGTACTTGGGCTGCATGAATACCATGCATTTAAAGAACAGTCCCCCTGCCCCCCCCCCCAAGAATCCTGGGAGCTGTATTCAGGTAGGTAGCCGTGTTGGTCTGACGCAGTCGAAATACAGTGGTACCTTGGGTTAAGTCCTTAATTCGTTCCGGAGGTCCGTTCTTAACCTGAAACTGTTCTTAACCTGAAGCACCACTTTAGCTAATGGGGCCTCCTGCTGCCGCGCCGCCAGAGCACGATTTCTGTTCTCATCCTGAAACAAAGTTCTTAACCCGAGGTACTATTTCTGGGTTAGCGGAGTCTGTAACCTGAAGCGTATGTAACCTGAAGCGTGTGTAACCTGAAGCATGTGTAACCCGAGGTACCACTGTATATAAAAGTGTTTTTTTTAAAAAAAATGTCCAGTAGCACCTTAGAGACCAACTAAGTTTGTTCTTGGTATAAGCTTTCATGTGTTTGCACATTTCTTCAGATACGGGAGCTGGGATACTGGGAGCTGTAGTTTATCTTGCACACAGCTCTAATTTAAAGGTAAAGTAAAGGGACCCCTGACCATTAGGTCCAGTCGTGGCCGATTCTGGGGTTGCGGCGCTCATCTCACTTTATTGGCCGAGGGAGCCGGCGTACAGCTTCCGGGTCATGTGGCCAGAATGACTAAGCCGCGACTTCCGGTCGGCGCCAGCGCTTAATGGCGGTCCTCCCTTCGAGCTCCGGAGGAGGACTGCTCCGCGAGTTCGGGTCTGACCCGCTACGGCGAGCGGGGGACCCCTAAAATCACAGGCGCGGAAGCCTGTGAACAAGGAGACTCGGTGGGCACCTTCTGCGCCCCCCGGTACTGTGAAAGAGCCTTTAAAGGCTACGGAGCGGCATCGGGGGTGAGCGCGGTGCTGAGAGTCGCAACCCAGCCCGTGGAGTGAAGCCGCGTCGCCATGAGCGGAGAGCGCCGATTCCTTCCTGAACTAGAAATTCGACTCTAAAGCCCGTGAGTAAGACGGAGGGACTGAAAGGGACATTTAAATTTAAATCTTGAAATTTGGCTGAAAACGGGAAAGGCATAAATTAAGGAAGTCTGCCTCCCGATCTGCATGGCAAGTAAAGCAACGAAAGAGCAAAGCTGCATTTGAAAGAAAATTACCTTTAAGCTGTCAAACCTGACATTTGACTTAAACCTCCCCCAGTAAGCAGGAGAGGGGGAAGAAAATTGGACACTGTTAACCTGCTTGAAATTAACTGAGGAAAAAAACATCTTCCATTGCCAAACCCCCAGGACGGACTGCCTGAGTAAGGCACCGGCAAAGTGAACTGTCAGTTTAGACTGGATACAAAGTTGGGGTCTTGTCTGAGACAAAGTTACGGGACTTTAATGGAATTACTTTGTTGAACTTGTGATTTACTGAAAAAAGTGCGACAGAAACTTTTATTGTGGACTCTTGGACTTTCTGTTGATTGCTCTGTGCTTCCTTGTTTTTTCTCTTTTCACTTGGATACAATTAAATGCTCCCTCTAGAGGGTATAAAGAGAAACTGTTACAGTGAAAAAGAAACAGTGGGATTTTCCACTTGCAAGCCTTTCCTGTGAGAACGACCTTGAGGATATGAGTGGCCCAGCAGAAGAGATAACAACTAGATCTAAAGCAAAACAGACACAAAAGAAAAGGGGTTCAATACCCGGCATACCACCAGCTGCACAGGAAAAAGTGGCAACAGCATCTATGGATTCAATGACACAGGCACTGCTCAAAATAAACCAATCTTTAGAAGCACTGACAAAGCTATCTACGGAAAATTCAAAAAATTGACAGAACTGACAGCAAGATTGGACTTGAATACTGCAAGTGTAACATCTAATACAGAATCTATTAATAAACTAATTCAAGAAAGTTCTGAAACACGAAAGATTGCTGAAAGTGCAAAAATACTGCGGAGGAGACAAGGGAGGAGCTAGTGCCGATTACAAAAAAAGTGAATGAACATGATGCAGCTCTATCTTTGTTGGAACTACAGAGAAAAGAGAGAAATTTGAAATTGAGATTGGTTCCCGAGAGTGAGGGAGACAACCTTGTGGATTTTCTTACACAGAACTTTATGGAATTCTGGCAAGAGGAGCTGCAGGAAGAAGAACTTGAAATAACAACAGCTTTCCGGCTGGGCAGGAGGCAAGGTAAGAAGCCAAGGGATTGTTTGATCACATTGAGATCCAAAGGAGAAAGAGATAAGATATTGAATTTGCATTATCAAAAGGCATTGGAGATTGAAAATAGTCAAGTACAAATTTTTAAAGATATCCCTAAATATATTTTGGAGGTGAGAGCCTTCTATAAAGATTTGGTCTACCTGCTGAAGAAAAATATCATACCCTTCAGGTGGGAGTTTCCACAAGGATTGTCTTTTACTTTCAAAGGAAGGAAGGTTAAAATAAGAACAGTTCAAGATAAAGAACAGTTTCTGGAGAGATATCAGGAGGACTTGCAGAAAGGAACAGTAGAAACAACAATACAAGAAAAAGGAGTGACAGACATTGCAAACTTGTCATTTGGACTCATACCATCATCTGAAGATGAACAAAAGCTAGGAGCAGTCGGAGGAACAGGTACTTAATAACAAAATGTCTCTGCAACTTCTTAGTTGGAATTGTAATGGTTTGAACCTTCCCCGAAAAAGACGTCAAGTTTTTCATATTTTGAAAAGAGAACAATTAGATCTAATATGCCTACAAGAGACCCATGTGACCAGGACACATCGGAAATTATTGGTAAACAAGAGACTTGGACAAGAATTTATTTCATCAGATAAAGTTAAGAAAAGAGGCGTGGTGATTTATGCAAAAGAAAAATTGGCTCCAAAGATGATATTTAAAGATGAACAAGGAAGATACCTGGCAATTGAAATACAAGTTCAAGGAGAAAAAATTTTGATAGTTGGAATCTATGCACCAAATGACGGGAAGGCGGAATTCTTTAAGAAGTTGCATGAGACTTTAATGGACTACTTAGACTACAGAATTGTAATGATGGGAGACATGAATGGCGTAGTTTCCACAAATATGGACAAAGCACAGAGACAAGTAATTTCCAAGGAAGGGAGACTACCAAAGACTTTTTTGAAATGACTGAAACTATGGACTTGATTGACATTTGGAGAACAAGGAACCCTCTTGAGAGAGAGGGAACTTTTTCTCTGAAGCAAAAATGACATGGACAAGAATTGACCAAATTTGGGTAACTAGCAGTATGGCGCCAAGGATTAAAAAGGTAGAAATCTGCTCAAAGACTTGCTCCGACCATAATGCTGTAAAGATGGAGATGAAACTAACAACAACTGGATCCTTTAGATGGAGAATGAATGACACCCTATTTAGAGATGAAGAGATTTATAAGAAGGCCCAAAAAAACAGTGAAAGATTATTTTGAGATAAATTTGAGAACAGAAGTGGAAAAAAGAATAATTTGGGACGCAAGTAAGGCCGTGATGCGAGGTTTCCTAATACAACAGAACTCCATAAAAAGGAAAAATCAAAATGAAAGGAAAGGAAAAATTCTGGAAAAAATAAAAGAAGGTGAAAAGAAATTGAGGTCTAAACCAAAGTCTCATGAGATTCTGAAAGAAATAAAGCACTATCAGGTGCAATATATGGAATTGATGAATCAAGAGATAGAATGGAAAATAAAGCAAATGAGACAAAAGACATTTGAATCAGCAGATAAATGTGGGAAATTTCTGTCATGGCAATTGAAAAAGAGGCAAAAATTGAACACTGTGACAAGTTTAGAAGTGGATGGAAAGATTATCCACAAACCAAATGAGATAAGTAATTGCTTTCAAGGTTATTTCAGGAAATTATATGCACAAGGGCCAGTTAACGAACAGGAAATAGAAGAATTTGTTAAGAAACATGGATTACCAAAAATTTCAGAGCAAAGCAGAAGGATTTTGAATGAGAAAATAACAGGACAAGAAATAGAGGGTGCCATTCAGAAGATGCAATTGGGAAAAGCTCCAGGACCAGATGGTTTGACCGCCAGATATTATAAAGGGTTGAAGGAATGGTTAGTACAACCACTGAAGGAAGTATGTAACGAAATTTTGGAGGGGAAAAAGGCACCAGAGTCGTGGAAAGAAGCTTTTATCTCACTTATACCGAAAACTGAGACTGAAAAGAACCAGGTTAAAAACTACCGCCCTATATCATTACTTAACGTGGATTACAAAATTTTTGCGGACATTATGGCAAAAAGACTGAAGAGAGTGTTGGTAGGGGAGATTCATAAAGACCAAACTGGCTTTCTTCCAGGGAGATATATGTCGGACAATGTGAGGAACATTATAGACATTTTGGAACTGTTAGAAGTGGACATTAATAGGAAGGCTGTTTTAATTTTTGTGGATGCGGAGAAAGCCTTTGACAATATTGGTTGGAGCTTTATGAAGAAGAATCTCCAAGGGATGGGGGTAGGTCAAGGGTTTGAAAATGGTATAGGTGCAATATACTCTAAACAAAAAGCAAAGTTAATTGTAAACAATGTGGTTACGGAAGAAATACCTATAGAAAAAGGTACACGACAGGGGTGCCCAATATCCCCTTTACTTTTTATATTAGTCCTGGAGGTTTTGCTAAATATGATTAGAGGAGACCAGTTGGTTAAAGGAGTACAAGTCGGAGCCAAACATTATAAGCTAAGGGCATTTGCAGATGACCTAGTATTGACCTTGCAACAGCCAGATACTAGTACTAAAAGAGTATTAGAACTAATTGAGATATTTGGTCAAGTAGCAGGATTTAAACTGAACAAACAGAAAACGAAAGTGTTGGACAAAAATTTAACGGTGGCCGAAAAGAGAAATTTCAGAATGAAACAGGTCTAGTGATAACGAAAAAGTAAAGTACCTGGGGGTAAACTTAACATCTAAGAATGTGAATTTATTTAAGGACAATTATGATAAATGTTGGACAGAGGTAAAGAAGGATCTAGAAATATGGTCAAGGTTGAAACTTTCTTTGTTAGGCCGAATTGCTGTTATCAAGATGAATGTATTGCCTAGAATGTTGTTTTTATTCCAGACATTGCAGATTTTGGACAAGATGGACTGTTTCAAGAAGTGGCAGAAAGATATATCTAAATTTGTCTGGCAGGGCAAAAAGCCCAGAATAAAATTTAAGATTCTAACTGATGCTAAAGATAGAGGGGGGTTTGCCCTGCCGGACTTAAGACTCTACTATGAATCGGCGGCTTTCTGCTGGTTGAAACAGTGGCTACTTCTTGAGAATACAGATATTTTGGATCTAGAAGGGTTTGATAATAGATTTGGTTGGCATGCATATATATGGTATGATAAGGTTAAACTGCATAAAGGTTTCAAAAACCATATTGTTAGGAAAGCATTATACAATGTTTGGATGCGGTATAAAGATCTATTGGAAAGTAAAACTCCCAGGTGGTTGTCACCAATGGAAGCTAAAGAGGTGAAAAAACTTAATATGGAGTCTAAATGGCCAAAATATTGTGAAATTCTAGAACAAGATGGGGAAAAAGTTAAATTACAGAGCTATGAGAAATTAAAGTCCAAAGTGCGAGATTGGTTGCACTACCTTCAGATAAACGAGACATTTAAACAGGACAGGAAAATAGGTTTCCAGATGGAGAGGTCAAAATTAGAAACAGAACTGTTAGAACCCAATACTAAGAATCTGTCGAGAATGTATAATCTGCTGTTGAAATGGAACACACAGGATGAAACGGTGAAATCAGCTATGATAAAATGGGCACAAGATATTGGTCATAACATTATGTTTGCTGACTGGGAACAGTTGTGGACCACCGGTATTAAATTTACGGCATGTAATGCCTTAAGAGAAAACATTATGAAAATGATGTATAGGTGGTACATGACCCCAGTCAAGCTCGCAAAAATTTATCATCTGCCCAATAACAAATGTTGGAAATGTAATGAGACTGAAGGTACTTTTTATCACCTTTGGTGGACCTGCCCGAGGATAAAAGCTTTTTGGGAAATGATCTATAATGAAATTAAGAAGGTTCTTAAATGGACCTTCCCTAAAAACCCGAGGCTTTTCTCCTGGGCATTGTCGGCCAATTGGTGAGAAGGAAGGACAGGACGTTTTTATGTATGCGACTACAGCAGCAAGGATTCTTCTAGCAAAGTATTGGAAGACACAACAACTACCCACACTGGAAGAATGGCAGACGAAGGTGATCGACTATATGGGACTGGCGGAATTGACTGGCAGAATCCGTGACCAGGGGAAAGAGACAGTGGAAGAAGATTGGAAGAAATTTAAAGTTTATCTTAGAACTTGTTGCAAAATTCAGGAATGCTAAAATGTCAAGGGGTTGGGAAATAGAGAACTGCAGCTGTAATTAATACTATTAGAAGAACTTAAAAGAAATTGAATTGAATAATTAGTTGATTGAGGAGTTGCTGAAGAAATATAAAACAAGGATGCAGAAAAGGGGAGGTATGGGGAAGTCCGGAAAGTAAGGCTTATGAAAAATGGTTATGAAATTATACATGTTTATATGTTTGTATGTCGGTGTATTGTGTATTGTTTGTTTTCTTATCTTGTGTTTGGAAAATGAATAAAAATTTATTTAAAAAAAAAAACAGAATGACTAAGCCGCTTCTGGTGAACCAGAGCAGCGCACGGAAACACCGTTTACCTTCCCGCCGGAGCGGTACCTATTTATCTACTTGCACTTTGACCTGCTTTCGAACTGCTAGGTTGGTAGGAGCAGGGACTAAGCAACGGGAGCTCACCTCGATGTGGGGATTCGAACCGCCGACTTTCTGATCAGCAACGTTCTGTGGGTTTAACCCACAGCGCCACACGATCATAAACTACAGTTCCCAGGATTCTTTGAGCGAGGAAATGCCCTTTAAGTATACGGCATAGATGCAGCCTAGATCTACACTTAGGGTTTCCTCCAAATGGCCTGATCACTGAGCGTTCACCCTGCTTCGCTTGCACTAAGCTTCCTTGCTGGTTATAGTCCAACCTATGTTGAGTATTTGTTCTGATTTGTTTGTCTGCAACAATGAGCATCCACCCTGACCTGCTTCTACAGTGTTTATATGTATTCCCATTAATCTTTCTCTCATCCCACCTTTTCCAGTACATTACTTTCCAAATCGCAAAAAGTCCACTGCCATTGTTTTGAAGTCAACTTGTTATGCTAAAATGGCAAAGGACTTTAATCCAGTGTCATGGTGCAAGTCTAAATATTTGACATGCACCGGAATCCCTCCCTCAAAATGTTGACAGTCTGGAGGAACCAGTTTGGGGGGGGGGAGAAACCTGCTGATATCTGACTGCTTCCCTCTTTGAAGTGGAAAGCTTTATTCAAGTGATGTGCCTTGTGTGTCTACGTCACTCACCTCCCATCTTCCACATCTTCGATAGTCTCTGGCAACTGGATGTTGGTTGTCTCTGTTAGCAGAAAGGCCACCGTCCCAGACACCAGTGCCACCACACTGAATATCAAGGGAGGAAGGTATCTCCAGGTGTCATCTAGCAGCATGATCAGAGGAGCTATGGAGCTGGCCAACCGTGCTATGAATGAACAGCAGCCAACACCACTCTGCCTGCAAAGGTAACGCAAAACAATTTCGATTGGAGATAAATCCATCAAACTGTTACACGCCATCCCAGTCTCTGAGCAGTGAAAGGTTCAAGGGGTTCCAGGCACTTTCCCAGAGTTTGGTTTCCTTGGAATGACGGTCAGTGGAGACTGTGATGTCTTTAGGATATATGGCTTTATTTGCACATATGTACAACCTGAGCCTAAGATGGAGGGGCTGACAGCATTCACACCCCAACAGATCTTGCTTCTTCTTTAGTAACAGCCTTGGATTCCAGCACAAATCAAGCATGGGTCTGTATTTGGTTCTTTTGAAGAAGATTTGGGAAATGTAGCCTCAGAAGAAATCCCCAAAGATTTTGCTTTATGTGGAAGGTGGGTATTTCTAAATTTATCTGGTAGGAAGGAAAGCCTAGAATTAAACATAAAATTTTGATAGATATAAAAGGGAAATGAGGCTTTGCCCTGCCAGATCTGCAACTGTATAATGAGGCAGCTTGTTTGTGTTGGTTAAAAGAATGGATTGTATTGGATAATGCAAATATTTCAGACCTGGAAGGCCATGATTTTAAATTTGGCTGGCATGCATGTCTTTGGTATGGGGAAGCTAAAATTTATAAGAGTTTTATGAACAGAGTTTGGGATAAATATAAAAATTTGCTAGAAAGAAAAACACCCTTATGGTTATTCCCTATTGAAGCAATTTCAATTAAGAGAGTTAATATGGATAGACAATGGGTGGCATACAGGGATTTGCTGGAATTTACAGGGAGGGAATCCAGACTGAAACCTATGGAAAACTTAAGGAGCCAAATTACAGATTACATCATCATCAGGTACATGATATGTTCAAGTTAGACAAAAAAAAGAGGGGTTTTTGGACCAAAGCTCACAATTTGAAAAAGAACTATTACAAAAAAGGATAAACCTTTGTCTAGAATGTATAATCTTCTATTAGAATGGGGGCGGGGAGACGAGCTAGTCAAAGCTTCAATGACACACTGGACAATGGATATAGGACACATTATAGATTTAAACCACTGGGAGAAACTCTGGAAAAGTGATTTGAAATTTACTGCATGTTACACACTGAAACTATGGAATGATTCATAGATGGTACCTAACTCTGAGCAGGTTGGCTAATATGTATAAAGTACAATCAGATATGTGTTGGAAATGTAAAGAAAGGGAGGGGACCTTTTTCATATGTGGTGGACATGTAAAAAGGTAAAAGAATATTGGGGAATGATTTATAATGAGTTGAAAAAAATGTTTAAAATTACTTTCCCCAAAAGACCAGAGTCCTTTTTCTTGGAAATAGCCCTGAGAGAAATTCCTAGGTGTCAGAAAAGCCTATTTATGTATGCAAAAACAGCAGACCAAGTTTCGTTAGCCCCAAAATGGAAAATGAGCGAGGTCCCAGAAAAACAGGATTGGCAACTTAAGATGTTAGAATATGCAGAACTTGCAGATTTAACACATGGAATAAGGGAGCAAGAAGAACATATACTTAAAGAGAAGCGGAAAACATTTATTGAATATGTGGAAAATAATTGTACACAACTGAAAATGCTGGCAGCATTAAGATAAATTCAACACAGCGTAATTAATGTTTGAATGGTGTAAAAATGCAACACTGACTTGAATGGTTATAGTATTAGAAATGCAGGAATGGGAGAGATAGAAAATGAACCATGGGAAGAGAAGAAGGGAAGTCACTGGATATCAATAAGTTTGTAAAAAGCAACAACAACCACCCCCAGTGGGTCTGATGGGAGCCCAAGCCACTTACCTGACCACCGTTGGGAAAAGTTCAGCTGTGTAGAGGAAGACGGTGGTGAAAGAGGCTTCAGAGAAACCCTTGCCCAAGATGGCCACTGCCGATCGGAGATGCCCATGCTCTGAGGGAGGAAGAAACAGGAGGCAGGAAGATTTAAGGGCATACTGGAAATGTAGGTATATGCAACACTCTGATGCTCTGGCAACAGATCCACCTTTAAGTAAGTAAAAGACTTTTCGTAGCTAGGGAAATGTACCAAAAGGTGTAGGATAAGGGTAAATGGATGGGAAGATTAATAATAATAATAATAATAATAATTTATTATTTGTATCCTGCCCATCTGGCTGGGTTTCCCCAGCCACTCTGGGCGGCTCCCAATCGAATATAAAAAACACAATACAGCATTAAACATTAAAAACTTCCCTAAACAGGGCTGCCTTCAGATGTCTTTTAAAAGTAGGATAGTTGCTTATTTCCTTGACATCTGGTGGGAGGGCGTTCCACAGGGCGGGAGCCACTACTGAGAAGGCCCTCTGCCTGGTAGGATAGTTGCTTATTTCCTTGACATTTGGTGGGAGGGCGTTCCACAGGGCGGGTGCCACTACCAAGAAGGCCCTCTGCCTGGTTCCCTGTATCCTCACTTCTCGCAGTGAGGGAACCGCCAGAAGGCCCTCGGCGCTGGATCTCAGTGTTAAAGCGGGATGAATGTGCAAAAAAAGAGTACAACCTCCGCATAATCTTTGTGCAAAGAAATCAAGGATGGCTCCTCAACGTCTTCTGAAGGAGCCCCGGGAGGCAGGTGATGCTGCTGCAGCTCACGTAATGACTAGGAGGATGCTCAGTGATGCTGCAGAACCAGCCAGATGAGCCTCTCACCTGCAGGGATGGCTGCATTCAAAGCAATCATGCCTCCTGTTCCAATCAGAGTCCATGCCTGACAATGCCTGCGGCCGATGCGGTCCAAGACAACATACACACTGACTTTGGCAGGGATCTCAATGGCCCCAAAGATAAAATGTGTCACGTACGGATCCAAGCTGAAACCGCTGATGTTTAGACTGATGCCGTAATAGGTGAACGCTACACCAAACCTGCAAGGAAAACAGAGACGACTTAGGTTCAGCAGCTAGGAATATCAGGATCAGCCCTTGCAAGCCAAAGTTGGCAGGTGGATGGGCAATCGCGTGATGATATTACGGCATCACGTGATTGACAGGTGTCCTGCCCACCAGTCCAAATCTTGCTCAGTTTGAGTGTGTGAACGAACTCCCTGCGGGACTCAGCTGAGTCGCTCTCCCTCGCATCAGTCAATGTGTGAGTGCAGAGGAGAGGGAGAGACCCTGATTAGTGCTGGGCTCAGGTACACAGAGTTCCCTTGTGCATCTGTCCATTGCTAGTTGATGTGTAGAGAGAGCAATCCTGTCTAGTGCTGGGTTATTGCTTTGGGCAATGCCCCCAAACACCAAAACAAATAAGGTGAGTGCAGCAGTTCAGAGCCCAATTTCCCCTAATTTATCAGATTTATGCGACTTTATGGGGAGGGGGAGGACCGGAATTGATGTTGTTTGAGGGTAATACTACCTGGGCTACGCAAATGAAATGGAATTGCAAACAGTGGAAAACGTACGCAATAAACTCCAGTCCAAAACTTGTTAGTTTCTCCAGGCTCACTGCTCAGGTATGTGTGTGTGTTTGTGTGTGCAGGGGAAAGACCAGTTCCATTGGGGCTGTAAAGTTCCAGAGAGTCAGGATTGCACACAGCCACCAACTATGTCAACAGTCATTTGGAATTACTCATTCCCAGTTGAGGTAGGATTACAAAGCGAGATGACATCTGAAGGAACCGTGCTCCATTTGTGGTGGGAGTTTCATAAATCACCACAAACTAGCATTTGGAAAATATATGTTGACCCCGGAGAAAGCACAGCAATACGATGGTTTGCATTCCTCCTTTGATGTAAAATATTGCACACTCGCCCAAGGAAGACAATAAACATCTAATCTGACTTCCAAAAAAAAAACCAACATAGGAAAGCCTGTCTACAGATAATGTTACTCTGCAGCTTAATTCCCACCACAATTAACTGCAACGCCTTCCAAGAAAGAAAACTGGCTCCATCTCTTTCAAAGTCGGGAAATAAGCACAGTCATCAGTTTTTGTTCATACCATACGACAACAGAACACAAGGTGGTCTTCCTCAGCTTGGGAGTCTTCACCAGGTGCCAGTAGAAATAGGTCCTTGACTCCTCTATGGTCAGTGTCCTCCACAGGACCTACATTCACCGCAAAGGAAGAGGGAAAATACCCCTCAGTGCTGTTTTGCAAAGGCTAGATCCCATCATGACATCAGAGAGGAACTCATTATCCTAGGATGGAGGCAGGGGGTTGGACTAGACCCTTTGGGTCCCTTCCAACTCTACAATTCTATGATTCTATGATTATGTAGCCAAGATGGTACCATCTGTGCACATGAGGGAGATTGTCAGCATGCTTCAGAGAACCCCCAAAGCCTACAGAAGCATGAAAAATAAATTTTGAGGGAGGGAGGGATCCCAAACTGAGCCATATTACGGAGTTTTGAGCATTTGACGGGTACAGAAGGCTAGCTGTGGGAGCTTAGGAAGACTCCTTACGCTGAGTCAGGTCATTGGTCCACCTAGGTGGTGGAAGGGTCAAGTTGTTGTTGGTTGAACCTGTTTATATGATTTTGTAATTTGGTGTGTCGCTTTTCGCTCTTTGTTTTTATGGCTTGGTTCCCAGCTCTAGGACTGGAAACACTCAATGAAGAGCGGGCTATAAATACTGTGTATAAATATATACAAATTGACTAGCATCGCCTACAAAAGCAGGCTTCAGCTCTCCAGGGTCTCAGCCTGACCTGGAGAGGTCGGGGATTGAACCTGGAGCCTTGTTGCATGGTAGGCAAGTGCTCTACCACTGAGCCACCGATTGGAGGGCAAGCATGGAAGACAGGAAAAGAGAGATAACAGAGTACTAGATTGGCTGGCTTGTTGGAACCCTGAGCAGGAACCCTCCACACCACATCATTTTGTTGCGGGTCTTACTCGTTGTGGTTGTTTTCTAGAGGTCCATCACTGCACCTGAGGTGCTGCAAGACCCCTTGCACTCACGTCTGGAGTTATCTTGGAGTCAAACTCTTTCTTGCCATTGACTTTGGCACATCTGGAAAGATAGCCATGCGCTGCCTCCACCTCCTTCTTTGTCAAGAGCCACCGGGCAGATTCTGGGAGCCACCTGGCAAGGGACAAACAAGGCATTTCGTAGATCAAGTGGGGTTGCTGCATCTGGGATTGCTGCAGATGAGGAAAACATCATCTCTATGCACACACTCCTGCCCCTGTGAGCTCCTGCGAGCAGTCAAGGCAAGATAGGGTGAGTGGCATTGACACTTTGGTTCTCAAAGTTACCAGGAAGAAGAGGTAAAGAGTACAAGAAAGAAGAACCTAGGGAAGTTGAAGAAAGGGCATAGCTGACAAGATGTGGTTGGGTGTGTAGGAAACCTTTCAAAGTCCTTGGTGAATATTAGGGTTTGGAGGATGAAGTGTAGGTGGGTTCCCATGAGGCAAGATGCAGTGATAACAGCAAGAACCTTAATTGAACTACATAACTGAGAAACAGGGGCAAAGCAACTGCTTATATACATTCCTGAAAGCCTGGGCCACTCCCACTCCCAACGTGATTGGCTGCCTAAACTTCCAAGCTGCGAATCACGACTAAGAGTTCAAGGGCCAATGGCAGAGGCCCAAATTCTGAATGTTCTGTGACTGGACATCATGTATCGAATCAGAACACAGGAGCTCTGAATCCTTAGTCCAGACTCAAGCTCAGGCAAACCCAGACCACTGGATACATAACAGAGGAGTTCCACAGTCACTCACCACCAAATGACGATGCTGAGGAGGCAGGGAGAGGTGACAGCCAACAGGAGCCAACGCCACGTCCGAATCAGGTAGGCTACAAGCGCCAAAAGCATGTACCCAAGAGACCAGGAAATGCCGCTGATGGTGCCGCAGAAGGTGCGATGCTTGACGTCAGTCCATTCTACAGCTGGAAGTTAATATACAGCAGCAGCTCTCAACGTTTGGACTCAGTTCACCTTCAACACAATCACGGTCAACCCCATAAACTCTAGCTGCAACGACTCAGCAGCCAAAGCTGCACTCCCTGCTCAACATTAGGGTGGGGCAAGAGGGGCAAAGCCACCCTACTCCCTCCCTATGATCAAAGACCCTTCCATATTTCGAATCCATGGAGGAAATTGCCACCCACGGGATGCTATCCTGATCAGATGCAACAGATTGCAGAGGGTGGGGACAGAAGTTTGCTGCAGCTAGTACAGTCATACCTCGGGTTACAGACGCTTTGGGCTGCGTGATTTCGGGTTGTGCACCACACCAAACCCAGAAGTACTGGAACGGGTTACTTCCAGGTTTCGGTGCTTGCAGATGGGCAGAAGAGCTAAATCGCACTTTGCGCATGCACAGAAGCGCCAAATCACAGCCCGCGCATGCGCAAATGCGCAGGTCACAGGTTGCAAATGCTGTGGGTTGCAAACGTGCCTCCCACACGGATCACGTTCACAACCCGAGCATCCACTGTAATCTTCGCAAAAGGAAGACAGCCATAAAGCAACCTTTCTAAGAGTGGTTTGACCATTGATCCCTCTCCAGAGGGAACTCTAGCTCTGTGAGGGGAACAGGGCTTTCCTAGCAACTCTCAGCAAAAGCTACATTCCCCAGGATTCTGTAGGAGAAGCTACGGCTGTTTCAAATGCCGTGGTACTTGCTTTAAACGTAAGGTTTAGATGGGGCCAGAGAGAAATAGGGTGCCCACGATCACTATTCCCATCTGCAGTGTCAACATGCGGAGGCATCCGGCCTGAAATGGAAAGAAATCGCCTCTCATCTCGGAACCTCTCACCTAATATCAAGGAGATGATGGACACGCCTGTGAGTCCCATCCCACAGAGCGACCTCATGATGATGAACATCAGGTAAGACTCTGAAAACGCAGCCAGGGCCCCAAAGAACATCGTGGAAAGGAAAGACAGCAGAAGCATCCGCCTCCGGCCAAACCTAGAAGCCAAAAGTAAACCAGCAGACCTGTTTCCGTTCCAGTCAGAATGCCAGAAGAATTGCCTTGCCAGGTAAGGCCGCAGCCTGCACATCTCTCCAATGTCATTCACAGCATCTAAGCTTGCCTTCTTCTAGCACAGGGGTTGACATCCTTCCTAGGCCCATGGATACCTTTGTGTTTCTGGGGAAGTGGCACGAGTGCTTCCCCTTCTTGCTTACCTCCCCTTCTTGCAATGAGCTCACCCCCCACCCAGAAAGACAGGGGGAGAAATGACTAGGGCCATCATTTGCTAGAGGGATTTCCTTATATGTGTTGAGAACATAAGGGGCAAAAGAAGCCAATGCTTCCTTGCTGTCTTTTGAGCATTAATATCTCACTCACTCCATCCTTCTCAATACAAGCTAACAGTGACTTCTTGTGGATAAATGAGCGCATCGCAAGTCATCCGAAATGGCAGTTTCCATATGACACAATATTTGTGTGTGTGTGTGTGTGGAGAGAGACTTCATTAAAATCACTCCAATATATGATTACAGTTGCAAGATTGTTATATGCACAAAGATGGAAAGCTACAGCCCGACCTACTATAAAGGAATGGCTGATAAAACTATTGGACTTGCCAGAGATGGCAAAGTTGACGTGTCCAGTTAGAGGAAAATCAATACTGACATTTATTAAAGACTGGAAACTTCTTGTGGACTTTTTGCATGAAAGAGAAAATGAACTTGTAATATTTGGGTTTGAAGATTGAAAAAAATACTGGTTTATAGAAGATAGAATGGTTGGGTGTTAATGAGTCAATACTATGTTTTGCTGCAGGACAGAGAACTGGAAGTCTTTTCATCTTTCTTTATTCTTTTCTCTCTTTTTCCTTTCTTCGCTTTTCCTTTCTTCCTTATTTCTTTTTAAATTTGTAATATATATATTTTTTGCTGCCTCTGTTCTTTTTTAGACTATGTATATTTCAGAATAATATATTTCAGAATATTATACAGGTATGTGTATTTCAGAATACACATACACATTATAGAAATATGGGTATTAATTTTTGTATATATTTGGACAGAAAGAAAGAAAGAAAGAAAGAAAGAAAGAAAGAAAGAAAGAAAGAAAAAGAAAGAAAGAAAGAAATGGTTTATCTCACAAAGAACCAGGAAGATTTCCCCCAGTTTGCCGTAGCTGGTAAACTTTGTTAAAAAAGTCATAATAAATAACAAGATGAAATACAAAATAATAATAATTGAAAGATGATCCAAAAAGAACTCCCTTAAGAGAATCAAGTCTTTTTGTCTTAAGACAGTCTTCAAAAGAATCTCCCCGCCCCCCATTTTTTAAAAAATAACTCCAGTAGCACCTTAAAGACCAACTAAGTATAAGCTTTCTAGGTATGAGCTTTCGTGTGTATACACACTTCTTCAGATACTCTGAAGCAGAGGCCGCTACAACATATTCCTAGAGTGGCTTCAGAACCAATCCCTCTCCCCAGGGACTCCGAGAATTATATCTCTGTGAGGGGAAGAGGGATCCTAACAACCCTCTCGGCACCCTTAACAAACTACAATACCCAGGATTCTTTGGGGGAAGAGCGGGAACAACTATTGCTGGAAGACAAATGTACAATGTCATGCATGCCGCAGTTTTTGTTACCTTTTTCATGTTGGTCCCGCTGCTGTTTCTTGATAGAGAGGATTTGAGCTTTTCGAAATAGTACAAAAAACCTACAAAACCCATAGATAAAGATGATGGCGAGAGGAGGGTGCCTCAATGCCTCCTTTGTACATGATTACATAAGAAGAGTCTTGTCCGAGGCCTATCTTACCCACTCCTGTTGCCCACAGGGCTCATCCCACAAGCAGGCTCTGAGCACAGGAGTCCTCTCAGATCGTTTCTACACTTTAATCCTGGCTGCAGGATCAAATGATCATGGCTAGCAGCCATTAACACCACTTTCAATTCTCTGAAGAAATAGGAGATGGTACTAGGGCTTTTTCCTCAGCCAGAACTCACTAGAATTCTGTTCCGGCGCCTCTCAAGTGGGCGCCATTGGAATTATAAGAGAATGAGGAGAGTTCCCGCATCTCTGGAAAAAATAGCGTTATTAATGGCCTCTAGTCAGCTTTAGCTCTTTTATTCAGTGCACGCTGCGCACTGAACTGCAGCAACAATCAATGTGCATTGATTTTTAGCACAGTAATATATATATATCTCCAACATGCATTGATTTCTACTTCCTGTCCGCCCCCTCCTGTCTCCCTTTAATACGATGGTCAGGACCTAATCAAGGGGTTCTAAGGCTCCATCCAGCACCAGCGAAAGTGTGCAAATGAGTTTTCCAGAGTTCCACTCCTGGCCTGACTCCACAGATTATGCTGGAAGATCATAGTCTTCTTTCCTCATGGAGCAAGGGCAGAGGCATTCTCATTAATATTTTTTTCAAAATGGCACTTTGCTTTCTCAGAGTCGGTCCTTCTTGGTGGAAAGGTGGACCGGAGTCATGCCTTGGTCCAGCGATTGTGGTAGTATCTGGAGCCAGCCTATGTAGGGACATCCCCCGACCCACTGAGAGAGCTCATTAACATAGCCCTGGGCACAAACTTCAAAAAAAATGAAAGGAGAGATCTGGCTTAACTCCGTGAGGTGAGACAACCAGGGGAAACCTTTCTATTGGAGGAGCGAACCTGCGTTGTTAGCATGTTTGTAATGGAAGAAATGGGATTAAGTGAAAGAAATATCAATTTTGAGTGGGATTGGCGTAGGAAATGAATTAGGAGGGGGAAGAAACTGAGTGGGAAATACATCTGCAAAGAGACAGTATTTTATTTAGATGTATGGCAGAGGTGTTCAGGGGCTGATTGCATCAAAAGAAGTGGAGTTCTGAACAGCCCTCAGGGGCACCATGATGTCTTCCCCGCCATACATCCCAGTGCCCACCAAGTTTTCTTCCAATTGAGGTGGGTTTAGGATTATTCCCGTGGAGGGTTGATAGGAAAAGGTTGTCTGTTTCGGGGGGTGGGGTGAGGAGGGAAGTAGTTGTCCAAGGTTGTACAGTTTGAAAATTCATATACGTCTTTGTAATTAAAGATTTATCTACCTAAGACTTGGCAGTGAGACAGGTGAGGCAGAGATGGGCAAAAAGTGGATCAGAGATGTACTGGCAGCTCTCAGAACACTTGCAGCAGATCAGCAAATATCCTCATTTGTTTAAGAATAGCAACAATAAATAATCTCCACACACCCCCGGGCAAAAACCCCACACATCTAAGTTAGGCTCCAAGTTGAAGAAAGCTTTGAGTGAAAACCAGAAGTTGATTTTTGTGTGGGAAAGGACTGTGGTCCTTCAGGCCTGATACTGAAAACAAAATATTGGGTTGAGCATGTGCCCAGTGGCAACATATTCCTCGATTCCAATAATTATGCTGCTTTTTACCCTGACCCACCCCAACAAACCACCTGGCTGCTGTTGGTGGACTTTGTGATAATAATAATAAAAAAGAACCACAGTAGATCCCACACGCCAGAAGTCTGTCTGCCCATGCACCAAAGACCAAAAGTAAACTCTACTCACCTGTCAGACAAGTAGCCAAAAAGTACAGACCCCAAAGTAACACCAATGAAGAAAAAGGTAGCAATTGCCTGGTTCATGCCTTTCTTCTCACACACCAGATCCCACTGGAAAGAAGTATCATGGATTGTAATTAAGGTGGCCCAGATTCAAAACAGGAATAGCTGGGCAGAAGAGGGGATTTCAGCTGGAGTAGTTTGCATGAGAAGCCAACCAAGCCCAAAGAGTGCTCTCTAATGGTTCCTCATAAACAACTTGGATGACAAAACAAATTGGGGGGTGCTCATCTAATTTGCAGATGGCACCAAACTGGGAGGGGTGGCTAATGCTGCAGAGGGCAGAATCAGGATTCAAGATGACCTTAACAGATTGGAGAACAGGGCCCAAGCTAACAAAATGTCAGGTTTTACTGGCTGCACAAATTTAAAATGGAGGACACCTGGCTGACATGTGAAAAGGGGGTCTTAGTAAACCACAAGCTTAACACAAGTCAACAGTGTGATGCAGCAGCAAAAAAAAGCTAATGCTATTTCAGGCTGCATCACAGGGGCTCGTCCTCTTTCTCACCCGGATCCTTTCATTGCAATAGACGTACATCAAAAGCTTACCTCAGTGGCCGTGGTTGATGCATATTGTGAGGAATCGTAGACCCAGCCATCCTGGCAGCTCAGGATTGATGAGGCGTTGTCCAGCTCCCAGGAAGAATTTGCCAGCAACCGAAGCTGTGGCCTAGAAAACATCTTGCAGGGGTTCAGTGTCCCGTCAGGCTCTCTTGGGAGGCCAACAGAGAAGACCTCATCCTGGCTGAGATTGGAAGTGCCAGCAAAGGCTGGAAGCGCACAGTGGTGAGATGGAGAGGCAGAGATGAAATTGTGGAGCAGGAAGTGCATGGGGATCATCAGTCTGGGAATGCAAAGCATCAAGAAGACCAGGATCTGGTATCTCCCAAAGCCATCCACCTCCCGGAGGACATCCTCAAACATCATCGTGCTAGGGAGGGAGGTTTGGTACAGAGCAAACGCCTGTGCACTGTACAAACAGACCGAGCGACTGGGGAGAAGCTCCAGCCATTTAGCAATTAAGTACCTTAGCGAAGCAAGTTTAACGGCAGTTTCACAGAAAAACAAGTGGCCTTACAAGACCAAACCCTATCAAGTCATGTGGTTCAGGAGAGACAATCCCTTAATGGCGAGCTCACAAGAGCGGTATTGTATTCTTTTCAGCTTCTTGGAGGAAAATATAGAGCCCAAGGCAGACAGAAGCGAGGAATCTAACCTCTTGAACTGATAAGCAGCTCTTGAAATAACTGGATCCAGCCTATATTCCTGGTTGTAGAGTTAATGTAGTACCAGTAAGAACTATTATAAGTGCTTATGCACCAACACTGGATGCCGATGAAGAGGTTAAAGAAAATTTTTACTCTCAGCTGGATACCATCCTATCAGAGACAAAAGAGATTTAAAGACTGTCTCAAGGCAAATCTAAAAAAAATGTAGTATAAACACCAACAATTGGGAAACACTGGCCTGCAAGCGCTCCAATTGGAGAACAGCCTTTTCCAAAGGTGTCATGGGCTTTGAAGACACTTGAACTCAGGACACAAGGGAGAAACATGCTGGGAGGAAGGCACACTTGGCAAATCCAAACCATGATCAACTCCCGCCTGAAAACCAATGTCGTGTGGATCCAGAATTGGCCTCCACAGTCACTTACAGACTCATTGTTAAAATCGTGTTTATGGAAGACAATCTTACTTGGCTATGAGTGATCGCCGAAGAAGAAACAGGAAGAGAGCAAAAGTGTTCAGATGGCGTGGGCATGGGCAGCTGTTGTTGTTGTTACTGGTTTATAAAGGTAAAGATAAAGGTACCCCTGACCGTTACGTCCAGTCACGGACGACTCTGGGGTTGCGGCGCTCATCTCGCTCTATAGGCTGAGGGAGCCAGCGTTTGTCCACAGACAGCTTCCAGGTCATGTGGATTAAACAGTCTACAGTGGTACCTCGGGTTAAGTACTTAATTCGTTCCGGAGGTCCGTACTTAACCTGAAACTGTTCTTAACCTGAAGCACCACTTTAGTTAATGGGGACTCCTGCTGCCGCCGCGCTGCCGCAGCACAATTTCTGTTCTCATCCTGAAGCAAAGTTCTTAACCTGAAGCACTATTTCTGGGTTAGAGGAGTCTGTAACCTGAAGCGTATGTAACCTGAGGTACCACTGTATATGTGTGTGTTTTTCCTAATTAAATAAAAGCCAGCCTTCTCACAGAGTCAAACATTGTTAATGTCAAAAAAGGAACTGCAACAAAATGTTGCTGAGTTTTCCCCAACCAGAGTTCCACCCGCTCCATTATATTCCTGCAGTTTTCCTCCTCGCCTCCCAACAGTCAGTCAGCACCCCATGTTCTCACTGGTATTTTTGCCCACTTTTTAAAATAAAAAACCCCATGGGCATACCTCAGAGTCTGCCAGGTTTCCTTGCTTGTGCCCTAGTGGGTTTTGCTACATAAGGACAAGTATGGAAAGTTTGGAGCTGGCATTAGTATATACTAGAATGGATGAAGCATCATTAGCCTATTTAAAATACCGGTACTGTACAGGGAAAAGCAGGGAATGAACTCTAGTCTCTTCCCATAGAGAGACCCTTTTGCATCTCATCACCCAGAATTGATTCATGCTTGCCACAGGGGACCAAGAGTGTAGCTGTTTGCAAACCTTTTATTATTATTTTTAATTCATTTCTTGTACCCCAGCCACTCTGGGCAGCTTCCAATGAAATATAAAGGAGCACAACGAAATCTCAATCATTAAAAGCTTCCATATTTAGGTGTCTACCTTATTTAAAGCATTCCGTTCTTTAGAATCTGGTGGCTGTATTGGAAACATAAACTATGTTATAAATCAGTCTGGAGAATAGATGATCATACGTCCATATCACTGGGAGTTATCCTTCCACCAACAGGCTAAAACCTTCTTATTCAGAAAACTAAGGCGCAGTCACAGCTGAGCACTGGACTATTGCCAGGGCAAATGGTAATGCTGGTTCAAAATGTGTTTCAATGTATTTTAACTATTTGTTAATTTATTAACAAATACTTAATTTATTAATTAATTTATCAATTAATTACTATTTGTTATTTAACTGGTTTGTTTTATTATTCTGAATTTTATAACAATGTTTTTAAATGTTGTAAGCCACCTTGTATCCGAGTTTGGGAGAAAAGCAGGATATAAATGCATTTAATAATAATAACTTTCAAGTTACCTTCGGTGTCGAAAATGGGACCGCCTGTAGGGATGGTGGGGGAATCCCGTTTAATTCATATTTAATGGATGGCATTGTTCAGAGTAGACCCATCAAAATGAATGAACATGACAAAGTTAGGTCCATTGATTTCAATGGGTCTACTCTGAGTAAATCTTATCTGAATCTCTCTATTTCACACCTCCCGAAACAACACACTAACCCAAATATCTCACCACCCATCAAAACTCACTTGAGGGGTCTTGAGGGGTTGTAGACCCCACAAGGAAGATATACAGCCCAACAGCTCAATGAGTTGTTGTAACTTAACCCCCTCTACAGTGACTGCTTTGAGATTTTCTACAATCAAGCGTTATATAAATTTTATGGGGGAAAATAAGTATATAACTGGCACAGGTGGCAGATTTTCTATCCTGAGGGAAGGGTCTTGAGACTAACGTTCCTGTGACTTTGAACCCAGGACTAGCAATTCGGATCTTTTGAGGAGTGACGAATCAAAGCAAATCACACTTGAGGTAATTTGTTCCTCCAAAAATTCTGCACTAGTGAATGCAGAAGGTCCAGCTGTTCACCGGCACTACACACCATTCCGGGCCAGAACTTCCCCTCTTCAAGTGCCTCAGAACCTCACCCATATTAGCTATTTCAAACTGAAACTGGAACACCTAAATCTCAGGCACATACTTCTGACAGGTGAAGAACCAGCTATTCATTTAACTGGGCCTGTCACACATTGGTAATGGTACGCCCTCCTGAATTAAATCTCACCATGTGACCTGCAGATAATTTCGGTGAAGTTTTTCCCCCCTAGCAACATTTCTTGCAGCGTTTCCCCCGACTTGGAGTCCAGAATTGGCGGAAATGTGAAATTTCACATCAGTGCCACGAGCATGGCTAACTCGAGCATGATGGGCGCATGACTAGATGGGCGCATGCTACTAGAAGCAGCAGCAGTTGGCAAGTCTAGTGTGTGGCTTTGATGCATTCCTGGAATGAAACAATTCAGTCAATCGGATTTTCTCACTGAGACTTCATTTTCCCATTAAGACTGCATGGTTATTTGTTCAGGGCTAGTGATAAATGACCTTCAAACCAACCTCTGGGCTGTAGCCAGTGCTTTTTTTCTTTTCTTTCTTTCAGCCGGAGCACAGTTCCTGCACCTCTGAGGTGGGTGCCATTGCAGGCCGCTCCTCCTCCTGCCTGCTTCTTGGCTTTATGTACTTCTGAGAAGCCCAAAACGAACATTTCAAGTCAAAACGGAAGCTGGCCAGCCTGTGCAAGTCTACATATTTATTTATTTATTAGATCTATGACTCCACCAAGCTGCTCTTAGCCTTGATTGGTCAAGCTATGGGGCGGGGCCCATTTGTATTTCCTTTTATTCAAACCCTCTCCCATGTAGCCGCGGTGGGCTTTAAGCCTTCCAGCCAGGCCTCTACCTGTGATGGCCAGGGATTCGGACTCGGATGCTGAACCTGAGGAATCCCAGCCTGCACAGGAGTCCCCACCTCCAGGGCCGACTGAGCCGGGGCTGGGGCATGAGCCTGAAGGGTCCTCACCTGTGCTGGATCCTCAGGTGCAGGCATCAGCTGAGTCTGCTCTGGCTCCTGAGGTGATGGAGGACCCATTGCCTGCAGGTGCTCCACTCTCAGCCCCGTCAGGGGAAGCTGAGGTTGCCTCTGGGTCCGGTAACCCTCCAGCCTCTCCTGAGCTGCAGAGGCTCAGGGCAGAGAGGCGGAGGGAACTAAGTTCCCGCAGGAGGAGTGCTCGCCTCCAGGCCAGGAGAGGCGAGTCACTGGAGGATCGGGGCCGCCCTATGCCTCGGGGCAGATAAAAGCTGGCCAGTCCCAGTCCCAGGTTGTGGGAGCAACATTGTTGGTTGCTAGTTCCTGCCTGAACCCTGTCCTGCTTTCCTGCCTGAGCTCCTGACCCGCCCTGGCTCCCTGCTTGCATGCCTGTTCCTGACTTCACCTGACTCCCTGCCCTGCACTCAGCTTCAGCTACTACAGACTGCCTCCACGTTGCACTTCTGACCACTGACCAGACTTGGACCTCGACCGGACTTGGATCTCGCGTGGTTAAGAGCAATAGGCTCGTAATCTGGGGAACCGGGTTCGCGTCTCCGCTCCTCCACATGCAGCTGCTGGGTGACCTTGGGCCAGTCACACTTCAGAGAAGTCTCTCAGCCCCACTCACCTCACAGAGTGTTTGTTGTGGGGGAGGAAGGGAAAGGAGAATGTTAGCCGCTTTGAGACTCCTTCGGGTAGTGATAAAGCGGGATATCAAATCCAAACTCCTCAAACTCCTCCTCCTCCTCTCGGGTAGCCCATGGGACCAGCACACTACCGTTGCACACATGTGCATTTGTGCAAGGGCCCTTCTGAGATGTCCTAGCCATCTGCCTGAATCTTAGAGATCTGACACCTTCATTATACACCTGTATAGTGCTGCAACCCCACAGTCGCCTTTGACTGGACTTAACCATCCAGGGGTCCTTTACCTTTACCTTTATTTACACCTGTAAAATGAAGGTGTCAGATGCATCTTTATGGGGAGGCATTCTTAGGACCACTTAGGAGATACCCTCTCCCAGGCCAGAACCCCCTGAGCTTCTGAGGGTGGAGAAGGTCTGTAGGGAAGGAGGCGGTCTTTCAAGTATTTGGGGCCTGAGTCATTTAGGCACCTTCAGCTGGGCCTGGAAATGAACTGTTAACCTGAGAGTAA